AGAATCCAGAGCAGCTAAACAAGCCACAATCAAGAAAGTTCATCTAAAAGCTACACAACTGTGTGCCCGTGAAACAGTTTTCAAAAACTACGTGGAACACCACCAAAGGCAACCAGACCACACAGAAAACCTAAATGAACTTGCAAAAGCAGAAGTCAGCCAAGGCACCACGCACTGTGGTCAGAGAACACGAGTACACAGGTGACAAACAAAATCATGACGGTTGAAATCACTGGTTTGAAAACAACAATGAGGAAGCCAGGCGTCAGACCCTGCCCCTCCCAACACCTAACACAAGGATTAACATAACAATAAAAATGGTCACCAGCAGCCACCAAGAAAGGGATGCCACCCGATGCCACACATTTCAAGAGGTGGAGGCCAAGGAGAGAAAGGGGAAATTCCGTGGTGAGCCGTCTCAGCACACTCCAGAAACAGTACTGGTGACTCCAGAGTTATACCTCAGGCCCCAAACCCAAAGGAGTGACCTCCCCATGCAGCCTCATCTTCTCCCTTTTTGGACGGGGTGGGGAAAGACAGGGTGTAGAAATGGCTGCGGGGAGAGATGGCTGAAATGGGAGATGAGAACACCCAGGGCTGACTCCTTGACAGAGATGGAGGCTCCAGACACCAGGAGAAGGTGACAAAAACCTTGGTGCAGGACAGTCAACAAAATCTGAGAAGATAGAGCGGTATACCCAGAGGCCTGGACAATGACTGGGCATCCAGGTATCAGGCTGGAGCCTGCCTGGCAACCCCCGTCCCTGCACTCTTGAGTTAACCAGCAGCAGAGAGAGTGCCATGAGTATTCGTGTTGTTTGCTGAGCTGTTACCTTCAGGGAGCAGGGGCTGGCACAGCTGGAGCCAGCAGTCCAGTGGGAAGATGCAGTCTGAAGTCAGACCGTCTGGGTTTGAACCCCAGTTGCACAACTTAATGGCTGTGTGACCCTAGGTTAGTTACTTATCCTCTCTGGGCCTCAGTTTTCCCATCTTTAAAATGGGTGTTATGGGGCCAGCCTGGTGGCACAGCAGTTAAGTGCACACATCCGGCCTCGGCAGCCCTGGGTTCGCCGGTTTGGATCCTGGGTACACACCTACACACTACTTGGCAAGCCATGCTGTGGCAGACATCCCACATATAAAGTAGAAGAAGACGGGCACAGATGTTAGCTCAGGGCCAGTCTTCCTCAGCAAAAAACGAGGATTGGTGGCAGATGTTAGCTCAGGGCTAATCTTCCTCAAAAAAAAAAAAAAAGGGTGTTATAAGGGATAAAAGAGCTAACATACATAAGGGGCTTAGAATAACACGGCCTGTAGCAGGATCCTTCCATTAAGTGTTAGCTTGTTTTAGTATGACCACAGACTTTGACCCACGGAGCTGTCTCCCTAGGCTGGCCACAGTGAGAAGGAAGAAGAGCACCAGGATGGCGCCTAAAAGCCACAGGAAGCACAAGCCTGACTCCATCTTGCTACTCCAGAGGAGGCCTCTGACACCCGCATCTCCCTGCCTGGGGGCGACACCCCTACTTACTCAGGGTACTGTAGTCGGTCATGCTGAAGTTCCACGTCTTAGTGGCAGGATCTGAAAGGAGACATAAGCACTTGGTTTGCTGCTAACTTTTGTTACCAGTTGTATGTGGACATTTAATAAAAGCTTGTTGAATGAATGAATGAATAAACGAATGCTATATTCAAAACAGTTGACTGACAAACTCCTACTGATTTACAAAAATTTCTGTAGAAGACAAATAGCAAATAGACACGAGGATAACACTTTGATTCCACACAGTGGAATTCAAGTCAGGCCCTGGGACATCACGGCCTCCCCTAAAAGGGCTGAGGACAGACGTGGGACTGGAATCCAAGCTCTCTGAGCCCCAGGGTACTCAGGTAAAGTGGTATGAGAAGGAGTGTGCGCTCTGAGCCTGGCCGAGCTGGCCACATCCTGCCTCTGAACCAACCTGAGCATGTCACTTCACCTTGCTGAGCCAGTTCCACTGCCTTTAAAATGGAAATCACATCTACTTATCTTAAAAGACCGTTGTTAGGCTGAAGTGCTACAATGCACATAAAACAGCTGGCAGGAGAGCTGGCCTTTCAGCAAACATCCATCCACCCTCCATACGGCCCACCAGGCAGCCCCCTAGCGTGGCAGCTGTTTGAACAAATGACTATTACAAAAGGAAACATGAGCTAAAACAGAATTTGTAACAACGGGAAGGACAGAATGTGCCAATGCACTCTCTTCATATTTATGAGAAACTCTTAGATTAAGCGACTCTAGAGATAGACCAGAACACGTGAAGAACTAGCCAGAAGCCTCCTCACCATAACTTCTGCTGGGTAGACTCTTAAACACTGCGATGAGCTCCGCATTGTACCCGATCTTCACCTGGAAACGGTCCCCATTCCTCACGCACACCCCATTCTGGGAGCTCACTGCTTTGTGGAGCGAGGCCCCCAATTTCTGTGGGAGTCCTCCTTCCGTTCCGGGGGCCACGCTCCCTGAGCCACAGGGGATGTCAGGAATATGCTGCCTCGAGGTGGAAGGACTCATCATATTGGCCCCTAATTCAGGATCCCTGGGAGGCTGTCCAGAGAAAGGAGCTGGTGTCTTCTGGAAACTCCTTGCTTTGGCCAAAGGCTTAGGAGTCGTGTTCGCAAAAGGTGTCCATTTGGTCTCCTGTGAAGCCTGAGGAGGACCTTGACCTAACTCACAATCCAAGAGCTGTTGGCTGGGCACCTGTGGAGGACTTTGTGCCAAGGGAGGGGAGATCCCAGTGAGAGTCGTTTGACTTGGGGGGCTGTGACTTGGGCAGGCTGTGGGCATCTCTTCTTGCCTCTTCCACGTCCCCTTTGCCTGCTCTGGAGTGCTGGGATGACAACTGTGGGAATTATAAGGTCTTCGGTCACCATTAGAAGAAGTACTGGGATTCTGCTGCTTGAAAATGACACCATGGCTTCCTGGCTTGGAAGGATCCCTGGGGACATTCTGGGAAGAGCTCTGCTTGGACTGGGCAGGCTGGGCAGCAAAGGAAGAGCCCACGCCTGCTCTCTGATGTTGTTCTGCTAATAATTTCTCAGCCCTACGGGCCAGAGCCTTCTGTCGATTCTCTTCAATTTTTTTCCTCTGCTCCTCTGTAAGAGGCAAGGACATTTTAACAGGGAAATGCTTATGCAGGAACGTCAATCTTTAATCGGAAACTCTGCAAACGCTGAGGAAGGAAACAAATATTGAAGTCAACATTAAAAGAATTTATTTGCCATGCTCCTACCTTGATTTTAACAAGCTTTTGTTTTAGGAAATGCACAAGAGCATAACCAAAGGATATATTAATGTTTCTTTTATAATTAAACATACACACACAGGGACAGAAGGCAGCATATGCTAAAAATAATGACCCTGATAAAACAGGCAAAAAGCCAGGTCAGATGAAATCCAAAGCCGAAAAGGTATTTTAGCTGCAAGATTTTTCTCCCTCTTATCCCCCAGCCAATGAGAGTTATCAGATCCCAAGGAAGCAATGCACTGCCACCTAAATCCATCACATAATAAGAAGGGCGACATTTCAAACTAGAAAGGATAGTGGATTAGACTGACGTAGACCAAAACAACCACGTACCATGGTGTGACGCCTGCTAAAACAGCCTCTTTCCAACCTGGAAAAAGGAAAAATGCATTAGCCTCACACAGGCTGCACACTGAATTCACCCTTCCAATTCCATCCTCTTATCTTTCTGGCAAATCAATCTGCAGGTGGTTGGCTGCCAGCCACAGAGCAGGTGGCCTTAGTGCCTGTTTCCCGAAACACACCACCATGGGGTAACCGACTCGGAAAAATAAGGGGAAATGCTACATAAAGATGTAAAGAAAAGAGTAAAGTTAATCTGTAATCTCACCATCCATCAATAACCAGTGTGCATAGTTTAGAGCATGGTATAGTTCTGATTCTTTTCTATCCACAGATAGATGTCACATATTTGGAAGACAGATGTATTTATTACAAAATAGGATCAGTACATACATTCTGTTTTGTATCCAGATTTTTTTTTTTCAATTACTTTACTCAGGTCCTCCTTCTATGAGCTGAGCCACTTTTGCAATATTCTAGACCCAGGGAGTTGGATACCAGATTCTGTGGTTTGGTTCAGACTAAATAGCCTCCACCCAATGTAATGCTCATAACGATGACATAGCGGGAACTCCCACAGCACCAAAGTTTAGGCCTTTAAGAAAAGCCCGAGGGTTTAAAGGTTTCCTTCTGCTGGGGCTCCCTTTGGCCAGAACTCCAACAACATCGATCTCCAGACCTTCCACCTCCCGCAATCGCAGCACTGAAGAAGGGGTTAGGGAAAGGCTTTGTCTCGGGGCACGGCTGCGGCGCTCAGGCTCCCCGGGCAACACACTCCTGCCTGACTTCCCAACCAGCGCTCCCCGGCACAGGGCCGAGGCCTGGTGTGCCAAGTGCCTCCAGTAGCCAGGGGAGGCGAAGCCGCGGGATGAAGTCCCACTGATCAGCCCCAAACCATAGCGCCATCGCACCACATGGACGCCCCTCTTCTCTTTGCTAGGACCTCAGATCCACTCCATTTAGGGGGCGTTCTTCACCCCTGCCAACAGGAAGGAAGCGCCACGCCCCACTCCCACCCCTATCACTCCACTTGGATTCACCCTTCCCCCCGCTCCACTCCCTGCTCCAGGCTGGCGTTTGGTCTCGTCCCACTCCGTCGCCTTCCTCCCAGTTTACCTTTCTGCTCCGCGAGGCCTAGGGCGCGAGCCACGTTTGCAGCCGACGGCGAACCCAGGCACGTCTCCAAAGCCCTCCGGAGCCAGATAACTCTTCCGGGTGGGCGATTACAAGACGGTATTCGAGTGCTGCCAGTTCGCCCGCCTAATTGTAGCTCCCAGGCGTGGGAGGTGGAGGCAGGGGAGAAGCCTCACCGAGGAACTACACTTCCCAGCGGGCAACGCGGCCGCAGTTACGCTTCAAATAGTGGAGAAACCGGAGGGGCCCTACAGTGTCTTCTGGGATTTGTAGTTTGGACCCGGAGCCTGGCGAGAATTAGAAAAGACGCAACGTCGTGGGCGGGGCGAGAGTGGTGCACCCTGGGAATGGTAGTTCTAGGTTCCCCCAAAGGTTTAAGCGTCCGCCGGATCACGAAAGCCTGGGGCTTTGAGGTTTCCCAAACTGGGGTCTCCCTGTTACAGCTGTCTCAGAGAGCTGTCGGATTGTCTCCAGAGGGTATGCTAGACGGCCAGACTGATTTGGTAGTTTTTAATAAAAAGTATACCCTGGGGCATCCATTGCTGGTATTGATCACCTTGCAATTTGAGCCATCCCTGCTGTCCCAACCTAGACCTGACCTTCATGGACGAAGGAGAATCGGCATCGTCGTCATTGGCATCGTCCTCATCATCAGTCGTCGTGCTGAGCATGTAATGTGAATTATTCTCATTTAATCCTCACGACGACGTTATTATTCGTGTCCCATTGTACAGAAGGGAAAGCTGAGACTGAGTTATTCAATAACTTTTTCAAGGCCTGGTTAGGCTATTTGTGATTCGGATTTTGAAGCCCCTACTCTTGAGAGAAAATTAGTAAACTGATGCTATTAGAGTCAGTTTACCCCATTTCTGAGCACGAGCACCTTTTCCCTTCCACAATCAACTCCACTATTAAATATTGGTGGTAAATATAATATTCCCCCATCATCAGTGTACACATGAATGTTACTATTCTGTTTTCAAATGTGCTTATTTAAAAACAAAGAGGTAGGTCTCTACTTAAGGATTTAGAAAAATGGCCATGACATATTGTTAAGAAAAACAAAGCGCAGCAATGTGTATGTGGTAGTTTGACCATTAAAAAAAAAACCCTTTACCTATAAATGCATGTAAACTCACAGAAAAAGTTCTGGAAAGGAAACTCAAAAACTCACCAACTGTTCAGGACCAGGGTAGGATGGGACAAACTCTTCTACTTTTTAATCTATATTTTTCTGAATTATTTGAATTTTGTTATAATAATCGTATAGACCTGGTGTGACTCTTGAAAGAGTAAATCCATTTTTATAAATGGCAAAGACATTGGCCTGGCTTACCAGACTTGAGTAAAGTTTAGTCCTAGAAAGAGTTCAAATCTCAGCTTTTTCCCCCTAAAAAAAGCCAATAATGTTTAGTCTATGAAACCCAAAGATCTGGCAGGCACAATTGTAAGGGATTCTGGAGATGAGTAACACACCGTTCCTGTGCCCTCAAAAGTTTATAGTATTTGGAGGATAGAAGACGAGTGGCTAAAGCTGTCAGATTTAACAAATATCCTAAATATTTGTCCCAAATGGGACATACTTATACTAAAAAAGCATTTGTTGTTTATCTGAAATTCAGATTCAACTGGGAATCTGATCTGACAGCCATAGAAACAGTCACTCCTATTAGCAGTGGCTCAGGTCTTAGAACAGCAACAAAGATACGTGGCTAGGTGGATGACTGACAGATATATTGATATGTTGAATTTTGAGGCTAGAAGGGACTTCAGAGCCTATCTCGTTTCACAGGTGAGAGAATAGAGGCGGGATCAGCTGGTGGTCCTTTCAGGGATCGTAGAAACAGCTGGAGAAGTCAGCTGTGCCTGACGTCACAGACCAGGCAGAGGCTAGGCTGCAGGGGGAAGCTGGTCCCAGTGCAGGGCTCTTTCTAGGCACTAATCACACACACAAATAGTTGTTGCCTGCTTGCCCTTGCCTAGTAGTCTGTCTGGGCACCTACAACAGATTAAAGTCCCTCTCCCTGAGCTTACGTGCCAGTGATGTAGATGCTGGGCTTCCCGCTTCCCTCCGTTTCTGATCCCCTAGAGAGGGCCTGGCAGCCCTTGGGGAGGGAGTTTTTGACAGCCACCTCAAGGGCATGTCACCACTTGAGCTAATTACTCCTAGATCACTGTGATAAGATTGGGGAGCAGATGCAAGACTTCGGGTGGATAAGGAAGCTGGTCCCTGCTCAGAGCTGCCAGTCGGCAAAGGCATTTGCATATCCAAAGCACAGAGGAGCCGTGTGAAGGTTTATAAGCCAAGAAATTCACCTTCCTTAGCAGTTGTTCCGTTCTGATGGACTTAATTGCTCTGAGTCTGACAGTTCAGTTTTTCTCTCTCCTCTCATCTACCTCCTGATAGCACTCCTCCCCCCCAAAACTCAACACATATCTTATAAAGACAGGAACTCTGGTATCATTTCTACATGGTGCATTCCATAGTTTCGTGTGAGGGTTCTCCAGGCCTCTTAAGTTCTCTGTTTGGTCTTGGTGGCTGTGACTACATCATAGCCTCTCTCTCAAGTCTGGCACATTATCTGCTGGGACGACTTTGTGCTTTGTTTCCAAAAGCATCCCCCATGACATCTTGCTCCAGTTTTCTCAGACCTGTTAAATTTCACTTCTTTTATTCTTCCTATATCCCAAATTTCACTTTATTTATCCATCCCTCTGTATATCCATTTAACAACAATGCAAGTACCTACTATGGGTTGCCGCAGTGAACAAGAACCCAGATGTCCCCCTTTCTTCATAATGCTTAGAGTCCAGCTGGGGAGGTAGACAAAAAACAAAACAAAACAAAACAAAAACACGACACAAACTAAATGATAAGTACTTGGAGGACCTAAACAGAGGGTTCTAGTAGAGGTAAAAGTGGGAAGTATTTCAGAATGGTCTGGAAAGACCTCTCTAGGGGGAGGTACTGAAGCTGAGCCCAGAAAGAGGAGAAGAGGCAGCCATGCAGGTGTCGGAGGGAGGAGGGTTCTGAACCAGAGGCAAAGGCGAGCACACGGCCCCCAGGCGAGAAGGCGCTGGGCAAGTTTGAGGAGCTGAAGGAAGGCCAGTGTGGCTGCAGGACAGTGTGAGAGGAGGAGAGGGGCGCAAGATGGGGCTGGAGAGGCAAGCAGGACAGGTCATCTCAGGGTCCTGCAGGCCAGGGAAAGAAGTTTCAGCTGTGCTGTGAGAGCAGTGGGAGCCACTGAAAGGACTCACACTGGACGGTTTGATCTGACATGTGTCTTAAGAAGATTGCTCTTGCCACTGAGGGGAGCATGCCCTGGAGGAAGATAAGATGCCAATAGGAAGGCCTTGTGGGGAAGCCTTGGCAGGAGTCCATAGAAGAGATGATGGTGGCCTGGCTGGATGGTCACTTTGGAAAACTTCTTGGAGGGAGACTCCAGACCATGTCTCCTTCTCAAGGGGCCTGAATGTCTGAGTTCAGTGCACGCACACATACACGCACACACACACACTCGGAGCCCCATTGCTCACCTCCAACTGGCAGCAATGGAGGTGAAGCTGGCTGAGAAAGTTAGGGTGGTAAACTGAACTTTCTTACGGACTGCTATTTTTTTCTGTATACTAGGCAGCTTCTTTACAGAAATATGAATTGAAAAAATTGTGTTCTCTCATCATTATTAAAGGAAAATCAAGACAAAGAGGCAGCTTGTTCAAGGAAATAGATTAACACTGGGGCCCAAACTCCCTCTCAGATGTCCTCCTTTCTGCTCCTCACCCAGGGTGCTGCTCCACAGGTCCTACAACAAGGCGAACCCCAGACTTCGCTCAATAGTCTACTCTTGATATGGTTATATCCATCTCATGGGAGATTGCCCAAGTGGTTGATCTGGAACCTGAAGTGAGTTTGCTCACCTGTCGCACAGCGAGCCAATCCCTGACATGGGGCAGTGAAAGAAAGTAGGAATTTATTGCAAAGCACTGAGCAAAGAGAACAGGCAACGAATGCTGTAATCCTGATCTCCCTGAAAAATCTCCAAGCAAGAGTTTTTATTTGGGGTTTTAGGTAAGGGAAGGGGAGCAGGTGGCCTTGGGGCTCAAGTCCTGAGTCCTCTGCACAGGCGTGACTGTCTGTTCTATGTGCTGCACCCGGTGGATTTTTAGCCTGTGACGTCTAAAGTTTACAGTCAGTTGTTTCAGCTTCTCAGTGCTCCTGCACGATGCTTACTCAGGCGGGGGCTGTCAGCAAGTTCCTCTCTTATCAGTGGTCCTCCTGCTCTTCTGCAAGATAAGCTCAGAAACTTTAGTTATTTTGTTTCCCACGCCAGCCTTGTGGGTACAAGGCACAGTTTCAACCTAATCCAGGGAAATTTTAACTTTTTCATCCTCAGTTTCATGGTGGCACCTCATTTGTGACTATAGATGTGAAAATTTAATGTTGGATCGAGTCGTTGGCTTGGTGCAATATCCCTGAAGGCCACCAGGGGGCGAATAATAGTCCATGAAACCTGCCTGTTTCACTGTTTCCTGTCCGTCTCTCTGGACCCCTCTTCCCTCTTTGGTTCTCTGTGTTTCTCTGTCTCTTCTTATGTCTCTTTTTCATTTTATGTTACATTTTTATCCTTATGTTACCTTTCAGTCCTTCTCTTTTTTTCTCTGCTCCTCTAATCCCATATCCAGCCTGCCCACATCATGGGACTAAAGCTTATTTTTAGTAGTTTGTTCTATGTGTTGAATTGCTCCTGGTTTTCAGGTCTCAAAAAGTAAAAGTGAAACACTTTGTATTTTTCTCCCTAGGCTTTCCCCACTCTCATTTGTTTGATTTTTACATACATGGCCATCGATTCCCTTCCCCTTCAAGAGAAAAAGAAAGAGGATCCACCCCTGACCCAAATAAAGCATCACACAAACAAAAGGTCATTTGATTGTTAAGGAATTTCAAGAGTAGGGAGAAGTTTAAGACGGCTTGAGGGCCACACCCTGTCTCCACTGTAACTAAGACAGCATCTAAATAACCACCCCAAGTGTGGGGTCCCTGCAGATCTGGGGAAAAGGCCACTCCTTCCTTCCCCCACTCCAGTTCTTCACACTTCTTACTGTCAGGAGATTCCCCTGAGTGTCTGCTCCAAATTCTCTGCAAGTTCAGATATGTTCTGTCCACAGGAGAAAGAGGTATGGAGGAAGCTGCTAGCTATATGTTCCTGTTGACCTGAGGGGCTGGTGATCACTCCCTTCCGCGGAGCCACGCTGCAAGCTGCAGGTCCAGGCATTGGGGGTGAGGACGCAAGGTTGGCTACCTGCTGCAAACAGAATTATTTGCTTCTGCATTAGATGGAGGCGCCCTCCGGACCAAATCGGAGAGAAGGAACAGCCCCATTCATCACAAGGGTAAATGATCCTAATTAAGTGGTTAAGAGGATGAATGCTTTCTAGGTAGTTTACAGTAAGGGACCTCCTCCTGGATGCAATAATAGAAAACCACCAGCCATCAGATCCATTTGGGAAAGAGCATTAGCATCCAGTGCACTCACCTCCTTGGTGCTCCAGCCCTTGTTTCCAGGAAATCAGCTGCCTCTTAGCAATCAATTCAATACTATTTGAGTTTTTATTTTATTTTTCTCTTGTAAGCTTCTGAAAGAGCAAGGACTCTCTTCTTAACCCTTCTTGTACAGGAAGTGATGTGTGGTCCGGTAAGTATAACATACTCAAGCCTTTTAGACTTGCGGCACAAGCCTCTGCTTCTAAATGATGGAAGTAAATCCCCACCTTCTGCCACCTGGCTTCCGTTAAACATTCAACTCAAGAACTCCTTCTCAGCGCCCCCTCCAGCTTGCTACAGGCATATTCTTCTCTGCTTGTAAACAAATGAAAACAATTGTTTGCTTCTTGAAAAATTTAAAAGGCCTGTTTCATGCTGTCAGTTGTAGAGATAGTATGTTAAAATAGTAATTTAAAAACTATTTTTTTTTGGACTAGGCAATACATTCACAAGATTCAGACTCCATCCGCATGCAAGCGCACATACAGTGAAATGTTTTCTTCTGGCTGGAGGCAGATTTAACATGGAGCTATATAACGCTTTAGCTTCCGGAACCTTCATTTGCATCAGCCCCCTCTGAGGTCCTGTACTTAATTCTGTATTTGTCATTTTGTATTACTTTTTCTTTAAAAGTTCTCCTGCCCCCAAATTGTGTGAACTTCAGTGCCTCCAAAACTTGAATCCGCCCCAACCACATCCCTGTCGCTTAACCACCAGATCCCCTTCCCAGCAGACATCCAGTATCATCATTTTCTTGCATATTTTTCTGGATATATTTTATGCATCTTTAAGTAAAAACATATTTATCCCTCTTTCCTTTTTTTGTAGGTGGTAACATGCGGTACACACTGTTGTGTACTTTGCTCTTGGCATTCATCTTGAAGGAAGGTAATTTTTTTGTATTTTGTTTCCTGGTCTATAAAATGGAAATAATTGTACCTGTCCCAGATGCTTCCTGTTAGAATTAAATGAGATAATTTAAAGAATGCATTTAGCTTATTGCCTGGAATAGATTATTGTTATCATTCTATTTTAAGTTATTATTCTATTGTTAATACTTAAAATATGCTGCAAGGCTCCAATACTGAAAACAGTGTGGTGCTGATAACATAATAGCAGGTGGATGAAACAAAGTAAGAAGTCTCTGCAAGTTGGTCCTAATTATTTGTGGGCAAGATGCTGTTGTCCATGGGTAGAATACAAACACTAAAAAGAAAAAGTTTGTCTCAAGGAGCTTAAAGTCTAGGGGAAGAGGGAAGATGTGTGAAAAATGTAATTCAAAAAGAGTAAATTGCGGTGGGTATGGGGGTGGAGCTCATTGCTGGCTGGAGTGGTGGTGGGTGCATAGGGAGCACAGAACAGGGAAGGCCGAGCCGGTGAAGTGGTCTCTGAACTGGCCTTTGAAGGATAAGTAGAAACTTGACGTCCAGAAATAATAGGAAAAAATGGTAGTTACAAGGAGGACCCAATCTGACAGAGTCACAAATGCCAAAGAAAATTTGGTTAATTATATGGAATAATGTTTAAAGGAGAGACTTATAGATTGACAGGATGTTTTCCTGAATGACGTGATCTTTGGGTCCCTTTCATCAAGTCTGAAGGAGGAAGGGAGGGCCAGGAGTCCCTTGGTGGGGGTGTTATGTGAGCTTTGTTTGAATTTGGCATCTCAGTCTAACAACTCTCAACTGCAATTAAAGGGGAGAAAAGTGTCAATATTAACAAAACCAATCCCCCATGAACAAACTCAAGGTCTAAGTCTTTAATACTTTATCAATAACGTGTTCTAATTACATTTGAGGCTTTGAAAATATGCCTGCATATGATACTTGCTGTAAAGCAGATTTCAGTCACAGGGCCCTATAAATTGTGATTGTAGAGAGGGAGTAGTGAGCTTATTAAATAGTATTGTTTGGCTGCAGCTACAGATCTTGACAGCGCTTGGAACAATGGGCGCGCCCCACCCCCTCCCACCACCACCCCTGTATATCAAGTGTTTAAGTAACGTTACATATACAAAATGGTCCATAGGCCATCTAGTCACTCCCCAAGGCCAGATGGGGCTTTGGGGAAACTGAGTGCCAAGCCACGCGTGAGATAAAATGGTACTTATATCTTGATCCCAGAAATTCAAAAGCCCTCTGGTTAAGTCAACTGCCAGACAAACAGACTCCAGAGAAGAGCCAGTTCCCTGAGGCTCTGACGTTGGATTGAACACATTCCAGACCTGCACGGGGAGAGAGCCCTGAAGCCGGCCCCGGCGTGTGTCCCGTGGGCTGCTTCTGCCCGTCTGGCACCTCCTTTTCCAGCTCCCTCTCCCCTCAGTCTAGATTTCTCTTGGCCCCCAATCCTCATCCAACCAGTGTGTGCTCTGGTGTGATCAGCAAGTCATTGAGGGGGAAGCCTTTTAATTAAGAGGAGAGCAACGAATTATTAAATCAGAGTCGTTTATTACCCTGCCATCTGGCCAGAACTCCCCCCGGCCCCGCTTTTCCTCCAAGCCTGTAAAGGCATAAAATGGGACAAAGAGAGGAGACCTCTCTCTGCCTGAACTTGGAAAGGACGGTCCAGCCCTTCCTGGAAGCAGGGTGCGGGTTCTAGGAGGGTTTCTTGGGATCTTTTCCATACTGTAGGCACTGAGACTCAGTTTCCTCACCTGTAAAAAGGGGAGAGTAATGCCTACCTCACTGCTTACGAGATGCGCAGCATGGTGGCTGGCATAGTGGAGGTGCTCTGGAAATGTGAGTCTGGAGCTGGTACACTGGGAGCTTTGCTATGAAGGTGGGTGCTGATGATGGTGGCAGCAGTGGCAGTGGCAGTGGTGGCAGGAGTGGGGTGACAGAATGTTTCCTCCTGGCAAGCCCTAGCTGGCTCCCTTTCTGCTGTGACCCACAGGGGCATGCCCTCATCCTCTCCCCGCAAGTGTCAGGGGAGCTCAGGAAATCCATGCCCTCCTCTGGCCCCTACCCATTCCAAACCGGGATATCAGGCCTTATCCTAAGGGAAATGCAGCTGGAAACTTCCTGTCGATTTGGGCATAAGAAGAGGGACTGGGAGAGGATTAGAGAGAAAGAGGCTGGGAAATGGAGCTGAGGTGGGCATTTCAATAGCAGCAGCTCAGAGAGGAGCACGCTGGCAGACGTAATGAAATAGAGGCCAGTTCCTAGAAGTAGAATCACCATGTGTGACGGCTCCGAATGAATGAAGAGTGGTACAGGGATGCTGGCAACTTGGTTACCATGAGCAGCGCTGCTGCCGCTGATGAGATTTTCCAAAATGATGAGCCACTCCTGGTGAAGCACCAAACCAAATAAAGTTCAGTCTTCCTCTCATCTACACAGTAGTTGCATTCTTAGCATACACTTGGTTGTTAGTGCTGTGGAGTTGATTCTGACTCCTGGCGCCCCTGTGGACAGCAGAGCGGAACCGTGCCCGGTCTCTTTGCGCCATCCTCTCACCTTCCAACGCTCTGTCAGACAACGCTCTGCTGCTCTTCACAGAGTTTTTGTGGTCATTTTTTTTCAGAAGTAGGTGGCCAGGTCCTTCTTCCTAGTCTGTCTTAGTCTGGAAGCTCTGCTGAAACCTGTCCACCATGGGTGACCCTGCTGCTATTTGAAATCCTGGTGGCATAGCTTTCAGCATCACAGCAACAGGCAGCCGCCACAGTATGACAACTGACAGACACGTGGTGTGGTTCCCTGACTGGGAAATGAACCCGGGCCGCGGAGGGGAGAACACCGAATTTTAACCACTGAACCACCAAGTGTGTACTTAGTGTGTATTAAAAGTCATTTTTAAAAGTGCTTCTGTTTGCATATGATATGAAGTTACATTCTAAAGCTCAGATTATTATAAATAAGTTTCCAGCTCTCTACACATCTGGTGGGGCAGGCGCTGGCCCCGTGGCATAGTGGTTGAGTTTGGCACACTCCACTTCAGCAGCCCAGGTTCGCGGATTTGGATTCCAGGTACGGACTTCCACCACTCATCAGCTATGCTGTGGCAGAGTCCCACGTTAAAAGTAGAGGAAGATTGGGACAGATGTTAGCTTAGGGCTAATCTTCCTCAAGCAAAAAAAAAAGAGGAAGATTGACAACAGATGTTAGCTCAAAGTGAATCTTCCTCAGCAAAAATAAAATGAAGTAAAAATAAATAAATATCTAGTGGGACATTTGAAAGTCATGTGGTGCGTGGGGTAAGCATGGGCAGTTGTCTCACAGATTGCAGAAGATGAAGCTGCCCAGGTCCCAGCCTCTACTTGCCGGGAGTGGGAGCTCTACCCATCACTGGGACAACCCAAGACACTCCACACTTTTCCAAGATGCGCCCTCAAGGAGTGATCCTGTGCTAGACTGAAAATTAAAATGTGAGTCAAGTTAAATTAAATGCAAAACAATTAAATGACAATCAAGAAATTTTAAATGTAAAAAAAGCCACCTTGAGACAATACAGAACTTTTGAACTGGATATTAGATGATATGAAAGAATTTTTGTTTATTTTGCTTAGTATAATAATGAAATCATTTTATGCAAAAATACAGACAAACGAGCATACAATAATACAAAAAAGTAAATCCATCTTGGGATAAAATCTCAATAGTGACCATCTGAGCACAATATGTCTATGGGCTTTGTAGAAAATACTCCCTGGGGTGGCTGCTCAGCTCGCAGACTCACTCTTGTCTGGGAACTTCCTCCCTGCCTCACTCAAGGTGAGCACCGGGTGGTGGAGTTGGTGTCACATCCCGCCCCCCGTAGGTGATTGGTCCAGGTGGGAGTAGGGTACACCTGACCCGAAAAATTCAAGCCCATCCTCTTTCACAGGAACTTGGCATTTTTTAAAAAAATGTTTTATTGTGATTATATTGGCTTATAAACATTGTGTGAATTTCAGGTGTACATTATTATATTTCAGTTTCTGTATAGACTGTATCATGTTCACCACCAATAGTCTAGTTTTCATCTGTCACCATACATATGCGCCCTTTTACCCCTTTCGCCCTCCCTCTGCCCCCTTCCCCTCTGGGAACCGCTTGGCTTGGCTGAGAGATGGGGAGCCTGGGGTGTGAGAGCTGAGTCCCATCAAAGCGGTTCCTAGAGAGGAGGCGTACACCACAGGTGCAGAGGTCTCCAGAGCCGCCCTGTTTCCTGCCCTTCAGTCCTTCCTTGGATTCTGTGAGACACCACAGAATCCTTCCCCAAAATTCCATTTCTTTGTGCTCAAGCCAGCTAAAGTTGATGTCTGTTATTTACAACTAAAGAATCTTCGTAAGATTCTTTGATTCTGGAAACAAGTAGTGTATCAGGAGGGCATTACAGATGAAAGATCAAAAGTCAGAATTGGAGAATTATCAGGTTCCTCAATTTGGTTATATTTAAATAAACCCTACAAAGGGGATGCAGTTGAACTTGGCAAATTGTCCATCTTTGCATACATTGGAAATTATCATTTAAATAGAGTAACTGTGATAGCCAGCCTCTAAAAGGACCCCCACTGATGCTTGCTGCTTGGTATTCACATTCTTATTCAGTCCCTCCCATATTGAATAGGGCTGACTGGTATAATCAATAAAATATTGCAAAATATTGTGTGTGTAATATGACTTCTAAGGCCAGGTCATAAAAGATATTGAGGCCTTCATCTTGCTCTGACTTGGATCACTCACTGGGGAGCAGGCTGGTCTCCATGTCATGAGGACCCCCAAGCAGACTCATGGGGATGTCCATGTAGTGAGCGGCTGAGGCCTCCAGGCACACTGCTGTCTCAGATACTTCGCATTTTTGGGTTTCTCTGCTTGAATCGCTCTCCCCGCAGACACTCAATGACTTGCTCCTTCACCTCCTTCAAGTCTTGGTTCAAAACTTGCCTTAGTGAAACCTTCCCTGAACACTGTATTTAAAATTAAAACTCTTGGGGCTGGCCTGGTGGAGCAGTGGTTAAGTTCACACGTTCTGCATCTCAGCGGCCCGGGGTTCGCCGGTTCAG